CACTGGGGTGGCACAGGGAGGTGACATTGCTGTCCCCACAGCGTCCCCGCTGTCCCCGCTGTGGGAGCTGCTGGCCTGGCGCGTCCCCGCGCGCTCGGCGCTGGCCCTGCTGCTGGCCCTGCTGGCCCTGGGCTCGCTGTCGCGCTTCAGCGCCGTCTCGGTGCTGGCACACGGGGCGCTGGCCGTGCTGGCTGTCACCGTCCCCCTGCGCCTGCGCCAGCTGTGCCTCAGGGCGCTGGGGACCCCCCCGGCCGGGGACAGCCCCCCCAGGTGAGTGACAGTGGGGACAGCGAGGGACACCGGGGACAGTGAGGGACACTGGGGACAGTGAGGGACAATGGGGACAGCCCCGCCAGGTGAGTGACAATGGGGACAGCGAGGGACACTGGGGACAGTGAGTGACCATGGGGACAGTGAGGGACACTGGGGACAGTGAGGGACACCGGGGACAGTGAGGGACAATGGGGACAGTGAGTGACCATGGGGACAGTGAGGGACACTGGGGACAGTGAGGGACACCGGGGACAGTGAGGGACAATGGGGACAGCCCTGTCCCTGTCCCTGTCCCATCCTGAGCGCCTGACAATGGGGACCCCGCCGGCCGGGGACAGCCCCGCGAGGTGAGTGACACTGGGGACATTCCCTGCCACCCCCCTGCCACCCCCGGCCGGGGACAGCCCCACCAGGTGAGGGACAATGGGGACAGTGAGTGACACCGAGGACACGCCCTTGTCCCCTCCCTGCCACCCCCAGGGAGCTCGGGGTGGCCCTGGTGGCCCTGTCCCCATCTGGTGGCCCTGTCCCTGTCCCTGTCCCATCCTGGCTGCTCCCCTGTCCCTGTCCCTTGTCCCCCCTCACTCTGTCCCTGTCCTTGTTCCCCAGTCGTGTCCCTGTCCCTGTCTTTGTCCCTCTGTCCCCTTGTCCCTGTCCCCCTGTCCCTGTCCCCATGTCTTTGTCCCTTGACACCATCCCCCTGTCCCCAATGCTGTCCCCTGCCCCTGTGGCTATTCCCCTGTCCCTGTCCCTGTCACTGTCCCCATGGCTGTCCCCGTGTCCCTGTCACTGTCCCCATGGCTGTCCCCATGGCTGTCCCTGTGGCTGTCCCCGTGTCCCCATGGCTGTCCCCGTGTCCCTGTCACTGTCCCCATGGCTGTCCCCATGGCTGTCCCCATGTCCCTGTCATTGTCCCCAGCAGGGCAGAGCCCCTGAGCGCGGAGCAGCAGCAGCGCTGGGCGCGGTGCCTGGCCCGGCACGCCGCCGCCGCCGCGCGCAGCCTCGCCCGCCTCTTCCTCGTGCACAGCGTCCCCGAGTCCCTCAAGGTGACACCGGGGCACGCGGGGGGACACTGGGGACATGGGGGGCACTGGGGACATGGGTGACACAAGGGGCTGTGGGTGGCACGCCAGCACCGGTGCCGGTGCCGGTGACAGTGACAGTGACAGTGACACGGCGCTGGCCCCGCAGTTCGCCTTCCTGTTCTACCTGCTGACCTACGTGGGGGCCGCGTGCAACGGAGTGACGCTGCTGGCAGCGGGTACCAGGGGACATGGGGACACTGGGGACATGGGGACAGCCAGACCCCTCCCCCGCTCCGCGCAAAGCGCGGGAACGCGGCGGCTCAAGCCCCGCCCCCTCCACTCTGGCTCCGCCCCGTCCCCGTCCCCATTGGCTCGGGCCCCGCGAAGGCCCCGCCCCCGTTGCCATGCCCACGGGCGTTGCCGCGCGACGTAAACACGGGACGCCGGACGTGGTGACGTCACCGGCGGGGAACGCCGTAACCGGGGAGACCCGCGCGGTGTTTACCGGGACAGCGGGAGCGGGACGGGGCGGGACGGCCCGGGAGGGACCCGGGAACCGACCGGGACCCCCGGGAACCGACCGGGACCCCCGGGAACCGGGCTGGGACCCCCGGGAACCGACCGGGACCCTCGAGAACCCCGGAACCCTGACAGGGACCCCGGGAACCGGGCTGGGACCCTCGGGACCCCCGGGACACCGAGAGGGACCCCTGGAACGGGGCCGGGACCCCGGGAACCGACAGGGACCCTGGGAACGGGTCCGGGAGCCCCGGGACCCCCGGGAGACTGAGAGGGACCCCCGGGACACCGGGAGGGACCCCGGGAACCGACCAGGATCCCCGGGAACGGGGCTGGGACCCCGGAGACCGAGACGGACCCCCGAGACCCCGAACGGGGCGGGGAGACCCCCGGGAGTCCAAACGGGACCCCCGGAATGGGGCTCGGACCCCCAGAAACGGGGCCGGGACCCCCGGGACCCCCCGGACTCCGAGAGGGACCCCGGGAACGGGACAGGGACCCTCGGGACCCCGAACGGAGCGGAAAGACCCCAGAGAACGAGCGGGACTCCCGCGAGACCGAACGGGACCCTCGGGACCCCCGGGAACCGGGCCGGGACCCCCGGAACCCCCGGGAGACCGAGAGGGACCCCCGGGACCCCGAACGGGGCGGGGAAGTCCCGGAGACATCGAAAGGGACCCCGGGAACGGGGCTGGGACCCCCGGGACCCCGAACGGGGCGGGGAGACCCCCGAGATCCAAGAGGGACCCCCGAGACCCCCGAGAGCCCGAACGGGACCCCCGGAACGGGGCTGGGACCCCCGAGAACTGACCGGGATCCCCGGAACAGGACAGGGACCCCCGGGAACCGGGCTGGGACCCCCGGAACCGGGCTGAGACCCTCGGGACGGGACAGGGACCCCCGGGACACCGGGAACCGGGCGGGGAAACCCCGAGAACCAACCGGGACTCCCGGGAACGGGAGAGGGACCCCCGGGACCCCCGAGAGCCCGAGCGGGACCCTCGCAACGGGGCTGGGACCCCCGGAATGGGGCTGGGACCCCCGGAATGGGGCTGGGACCCCCGAGAGCCGAGTGGGACCCCCAGTACACCGGGAACACCGGGAACCGGGCTGGGACCCTCGGGACCCCCGGGAACCGAGCGGGACCCCCGGGAACGGGAGAGGGACCCCCGGGACACCGGGACCGAGAGCCCCGGGACCCCCGAGAGCCCGGGACCCCCGGGACCCCCAGAAAGGGACCCCCGGGGACAGGGACACCGGGACCCCCGGGACCTGCCGGGACCGGGACCCCCGGAACGGGAACGGGACCCCCGAGAGCCGAGCGGGACCCCCGGGACCTGCCGGGACCGGGGCCACCGGAGGGGGCGGGGCCCGCGGCACCGGACGGACGGACGGACGGACGGATGAGCCCGGAGCGTGGGAACCGCCGCCCCCCGCCGCTCCCGCCGTGACTCAGCGCCGGTCCCCGCCGCTGCCGTCAGCCCCCGCTGCTGCCGAGGCACCGGGACCCTCGGGACCCCCCGAACCGGTACCCCCGGGGAGCGCGGGCGAGCGGGGGCCGGGACCGGGACCGCCCCCAGCCCCGCTGCGCCACCCACGGGACCCCCGGAGCTCCTCAGCCAGCTCCCGGTGACACCGGGTGGGCGGGGGTCGCTTTGCTCCGGTCCCCGGGACACCCGGAGCTCCTCAGCCCGCTCCCGGTGATCCCCGGTGGTCGCGGGGGTCGCTTTGCCCCGGTCCCGGAGACACCGGGTGGGCGGGGGTCGCTTTGCCCCGGTCCCCGGGACACCCGGAGCTCCTCAGCCCGCTCCCGGTGATCCCCGGTGGTCGCGGGGGTCGCTTTGCCCCGGTCCCGGAGACACCGGGTGGGCGGGGGTCGCTTTGCCCCGGTCCCCGGGACACCCGGAGCTCCTCAGCCCGCTCCCGGTGATCCCCGGTGGTCGCGGGGGTCGCTTTGCCCCGGTCCCGGAGACACCGGGTGGGCGGGGGTCGCTTTGCCCCGGTCCCCGGGACACCCGGAGCTCCTCAGCCCGCTCCCGGTGATCCCCGGTGGTCGCGGGGGTCGCTTTGCCCCGGTCCCGGAGACACCGGGTGGGCGGGGGTCGCTTTGCCCCGGTCCCCGGGACACCCGGAGCTCCTCAGCCCGCTCCCGGTGATCCCCGGTGGTCGCGGGGGTCGCTTTGCCCCGGTCCCGGAGACACCGGGTGGGCGGGGGTCGCTTTGCCCCGGTCCCCGGGACACCCGGAGCTCCTCAGCCCGCTCCCGGTGATCCCCGGTGGTCGCGGGGGTCGCTTTGCCCCGGTCCCGGAGACACCGGGTGGGCGGGGGTCGCTTTGCCCCGGTCCCCGGGACACCCGGAGCTCCTCAGCCCGCTCCCGGTGATCCCCGGTGGTCGCGGGGGTCGCTTTGCCCCGGTCCCGGAGACACCGGGTGGGCGGGGGTCGCTTTGCCCCGGTCCCCGGGACACCCGGAGCTCCTCAGCCCGCTCCCGGTGATCCCCGGTGGTCGCGGGGGTCGCTTTGCCCCGGTCCCGGAGACACCGGGTGGGCGGGGGTCGCTTTGCCCCGGTCCCCGGGACACCCGGAGCTCCTCAGCCCGCTCCCGGTGATCCCCGGTGGTCGCGGGGGTCGCTTTGCCCCGGTCCCGGAGACACCGGGTGGGCGGGGGTCGCTTTGCCCCGGTCCCCGGGACACCCGGAGCTCCTCAGCCCGCTCCCGGTGATCCCCGGTGGTCGCGGGGGTCGCTTTGCCCCGGTCCCGGAGACACCGGGTGGGCGGGGGTCGCTTTGCCCCGGTCCCCGGGACACCCGGAGCTCCTCAGCCCGCTCCCGGTGATCCCCGGTGGTCGCGGGGGTCGCTTTGCCCCGGTCCCGGAGACACCGGGTGGGCGGGGGTCGCTTTGCCCCGGTCCCCGGGACACCCGGAGCTCCTCAGCCCGCTCCCGGTGATCCCCGGTGGTCGCGGGGGTCGCTTTGCCCCGGTCCCGGAGACACCGGGTGGGCGGGGGTCGCTTTGCCCCGGTCCCCGGGACACCCGGAGCTCCTCAGCCCGCTCCCGGTGATCCCCGGTGGTCGCGGGGGTCGCTTTGCCCCGGTCCCGGAGACACCGGGTGGGCGGGGGTCGCTTTGCCCCGGTCCCCGGGACACCCGGAGCTCCTCAGCCCGCTCCCGGTGATCCCCGGTGGTCGCGGGGGTCGCTTTGCCCCGGTCCCGGAGACACCGGGTGGGCGGGGGTCGCTTTGCCCCGGTCCCCGGGACACCCGGAGCTCCTCAGCCCGCTCCCGGTGATCCCCGGTGGTCGCGGGGGTCGCTTTGCCCCGGTCCCGGAGACACCGGGTGGGCGGGGGTCGCTTTGCCCCGGTCCCCGGGACACCCGGAGCTCCTCAGCCCGCTCCCGGTGATCCCCGGTGGTCGCGGGGGTCGCTTTGCCCCGGTCCCGGAGACACCGGGTGGGCGGGGGTCGCTTTGCCCCGGTCCCCGGGACACCCGGAGCTCCTCAGCCCGCTCCCGGTGATCCCCGGTGGTCGCGGGGGTCGCTTTGCCCCGGTCCCGGAGACACCGGGTGGGCGGGGGTCGCTTTGCCCCGGTCCCCGGGACACCCGGAGCTCCTCAGCCCGCTCCCGGTGATCCCCGGTGGTCGCGGGGGTCGCTTTGCCCCGGTCCCGGAGACACCGGGTGGGCGGGGGTCGCTTTGCCCCGGTCGACCCCCGGAACCCCCGGGAGACCGAGAGGGACCCCCGGGACCCCGAACGGGGCGGGGAAGTCCCGGAGACATCGAAAGGGACCCCGGGAACGGGGCTGGGACCCCCGGGACCCCGAACGGGGCGGGGAGACCCCCGAGATCCAAGAGGGACCCCCGAGACCCCCGAGAGCCCGAACGGGACCCCCGGAACGGGGCTGGGACCCCCGAGAACTGACCGGGATCCCCGGAACAGGACAGGGACCCCCGGGAACCGGGCTGGGACCCCCGGAACCGGGCTGAGACCCTCGGGACGGGACAGGGACCCCCGGGACACCGGGAACCGGGCGGGGAAACCCCGAGAACCAACCGGGACTCCCGGGAACGGGAGAGGGACCCCCGGGACCCCCGAGAGCCCGAGCGGGACCCTCGCAACGGGGCTGGGACCCCCGGAATGGGGCTGGGACCCCCGGAATGGGGCTGGGACCCCCGAGAGCCGAGTGGGACCCCCAGTACACCGGGAACACCGGGAACCGGGCTGGGACCCTCGGGACCCCCGGGAACCGAGCGGGACCCCCGGGAACGGGAGAGGGACCCCCGGGACACCGGGACCGAGAGCCCCGGGACCCCCGAGAGCCCGGGACCCCCGGGACCCCCAGAAAGGGACCCCCGGGGACAGGGACACCGGGACCCCCGGGACCTGCCGGGACCGGGACCCCCGGAACGGGAACGGGACCCCCGAGAGCCGAGCGGGACCCCCGGGACCTGCCGGGACCGGGGCCACCGGAGGGGGCGGGGCCCGCGGCACCGGACGGACGGACGGACGGACGGATGAGCCCGGAGCGTGGGAACCGCCGCCCCCCGCCGCTCCCGCCGTGACTCAGCGCCGGTCCCCGCCGCTGCCGTCAGCCCCCGCTGCTGCCGAGGCACCGGGACCCTCGGGACCCCCCGAACCGGTACCCCCGGGGAGCGCGGGCGAGCGGGGGCCGGGACCGGGACCGCCCCCAGCCCCGCTGCGCCACCCACGGGACCCCCGGAGCTCCTCAGCCCGCTCCCGGTGACACCGGGTGGGCGGGGGTCGCTTTGCTCCGGTCCCCGGGACACCCGGAGCTCCTCAGCCCGCTCCCGGTGATCCCCGGTGGTCGCGGGGGTCGCTTTGCCCCGGTCCCGGTGACAGCGGGTGGGCGGGGGTCGCTTTGTCCCGGTTCCGGGGACCCCCGAGGGTCGCTCTGCCCCGGTCCCGGGACTCCCCGGTTTGGGGAGGGGTGAGGGAGGGGGTTCCGGTACCGGTCGCCCCCGTACGGGGCCAGCTCCAGCACCGCGGGGGGGGTCCCGAGGGGTCACCGGGAGAGCTCCCGGAGGTCCCGGGGGGAATCCCGGGGGTTCCTCCAGGGGTCCCGGTGGTGGAAGCGGGGAGATCCCCGGGGGATCCCGGACAGAAATCCCGGCAGCTCACCGGGAGGGGATCCCCGGTGTGAGGGGGGGTCCCGGGGGTCTCCCGCGGGTTCCTCGAGGGGTCCCGGTGGTGGAAGCGGGGACATCACCGGGAGATCCCGCAGAGAAATCCCGGCCGGGATCCCGGCAGCTCACCGGGAGGGGATCCCCGGTGTTGGGGAGGGGTCCCGAGGGTCCCGGGGGTCTCTCGGGGGCTCTCGGAGGGTCCCGGTAATGGAAGCGGGGCCATCCCCGGGGGATCCCGGACAGAAATCCCGGCAGCTCACCGGGTTGGGGAGGGGTCCCGGGGGTCCCGGGGGTCTCCCGTGCGTAAGCGCGCGCAGTGACGTCGCCGGCGGCGGTGACGCGGCACGCACGCACGCGGAGCGCGCGGGTTATTTTTGGGGTGTCCCCACCCCCCCCGCCGCTTTGTCCCCGCCCGCGCGCGGCGTTGCCAGGGGAGACCCGAGGCGAGGCCACGCCCCCTTTTGGGGTTGGACACGCCCATTCGGCGGAGGGGACACGCCCACGCGCAGCTGGTTAAATGGAGGGGAGGCCACGCCCACTTAGAGGGGTGGACACGCCTCCTCTGAGCGATGGCCACGCCCCCTGCCCGCATTTTTGGGGCTCCGGGCGGTCCCCAAACGGTGGCGGGGTCACCTGGGGGTGGCCGTGTCCCCAAATGGTGGCGATGTCACCTCGTGACCCCCGGGGTCCCCCCCAGGGCTCGGGGGGGGGGCGTGGGCCCCTCCCCCCCCCGATTTTGGGGAGGGGGCGACCCCTCCCCTCCCCCCCACACAGCTCGAGAGGGGTTTGGGGGTCCCTGGGGGTGACAGGGACAGGAGAGTGTCACCCGTTGGGACACAGAGGACAGAAAGGACAGCGGAGATGAGGGGACAGGGGGACACAGAGGGGATGAAAGAATGAGGGGACAGAGGGGACAGGGAGACAAAGGGACAGAGGGGACAGAGGGGATAGAAGGGACAGGGGGACACAGAGGGGACAGATGGACAGGGGGGATAGAGGGGATGAGGGGACAGAAGGGATGAGAGGACAGAGGGGACAGAGGGACAGGGGGATGAAGGGACAGAGGGACAGAGAGGACAGAAGGGACAGCAGGGACAGCGGGGACAGAGGGGACAGAGGGTGGTGGCACTTTGGGGACGTGGCAGGGGGGGTTTAGGGGGCGTGGAAGTGGCAGGAGATTGAGGGTCACCCCAAGCGGTGGCACCTTGGGGACACCATGAACGGTGACAGCTTGAGGGCCACCCCAGGTGGTGACACCTTGGGGACACGGCAGGAATCTGGGGACATCATGAGTGACAAGAGCCTGAGGGTCACCCCAGGTGGTGGCACCTTGGGGAC